ACAATCTTGAGGAAAATGGCAACCTGTGTTTTGTAGAGCGGGAAGAGTACTTTCAAATAGTAAACGGTTTTTGAGGGATACTTGTACAGTTTGAATTCATACGTTGGAAAAAAACGCTACGATATTATGCTCCAACCCAATATTTCTCAGTAACATGTTTGCTAAGTTTCCTTTCCTAAGACTATTCGCTATCATCTACCGACTAGTGTTGATTTTCGCTTGTATTCCTCCTTTGAATTATGATTTTCTCGCGAAAATCGGCACACAGTTAGGCGACGGTACAAAGCAATGGGTGGCCTCCCGACTCGTTCACAGGATAAGGCGTATTCAAAGAACAAAGTGCAATAGACCTATCCACGCGACTTACGGCATCCGATTTAGATTGGTTAATGATCGAACATAATTGTACTTCAGATTTGACATAGTTCATAAGCACTGGAATATGGCGTGGAGACGGAAATACACTTGAAAACATTTGAATTCTTCATCTGTTTTTCGAGTTTGCCATGTTCGAAGGGAAATATTGTCACATTCAAAGCCATTTCCTGATCTAGTCCTCGGCAAATTCAAGCTTATCCCCTCAGCGCTGTGCTCTGTATTTAAGCGTTTTTTTAGGTGAGTCACATATTTGGGGTTGGTAAAGGTCAAAAGCTTGGAAGAGGGTTTCGTGGAAGTTGGGCGGGTTTTGGCGAAGTTAAAGGAAATTTGAAAAATAGAAAAAGTAAGCGTGAAGTGCCTCCTACCCCCTATCCCACGGCTGTTTCTGTTTGGGAGGATAAGTGAGCAGAGGTGGCTGCTGTGTCGACTGGTCTCAGAGTCGAATACTATCAAAACAGCCATAGGAAAAAGCGGCGGTTGGGGGTAAGGGGATGAAGTCGAAATGAGAAGGCTGCTAACCAGGGTAGACCGATTTTTGGCAGAGCGCTGGTTTTTTGGCTTTGAACTGTTATAACTTTCTTCAGATTGAACTTTTTGCAATTCTTGTCCCCTGGAAGAACTAGAAGGTTAGAGCTTTCTAATGAATACTTGAACTCAAATGACCCGTTCAAAAAATCGTCCCGTTGGACCGTTTTTTTTTCATGAATTTTCGGAGCTACTCTCCTGAAAACACGAGTTTTCACTCAAACACTCACAGCTCTCTTCAAACTCAATTTTATGGGGAATAATGATACCATGACATCGCACAAGCTTTGTGCTTCATAACAGATTGAACCTTTCAGGAAGTCGCCGACAGGCAAATATTTTTTCCCAAACTTTTCTTGTAAGCCTTTAGCAGTCAATCTACCCAAGTGGTCACTCTTTTACTAACTTAGGTCAGTTTGAAGACATTGGTTCTCCTCGAGAGCATATTTGTGTACGTGAACAGTCAAATATGGACACTTCTGCAGTAGACTCTTCTGCTCTGAGGTGCGCCATGCACTCGTTTGTGGTTAATAGTTGGAGAAGCACTCGAAAGTTATGCCTCTCACTTACGTATTGCGACGTTGACCTTTGCGAATACGACCCCCCCCTTTCGGTCGACCAAATACGACCCCCTCATTTGACTTTGTCCAACGGACAGGTTGGCCCTTCTGCTAACCATAAGACTGACGGTGGTGGTGAAGGGTCATATCGAACCCCCTATAGGAGGCGGGGATCGTCAAAGGAATTGGAACGACGGGACAGTTGACCCTCGTTGCATTTATAGGTCAGAATCGAACCTGGATCAAAGAATTCGTCGTCGGTGGACATCGAGCGCATCATCAAACTCGATTCAGCCGATGCTGTGCGACGGAGACGATCAGGTGAACGTCGAAACGCTTCTGCAGTGAGCCCTTCCTAAAAATATGTGAATTCCGGCTGTACGTCGAGTTTTTTCCGTTACTGAGATTTATTTACTTTTACAAGCTCATTCTGAGTCGCTGGACTCATACTAATTTGGAAGCGATACTAGTTTACATCTTTTTTATTATTTCACCATAGGTCATTTAACCCATTCGCAACAATGTCAGGCACCGGTAGCTGGCATCGAAGATGTGCATTGGTACCAAGTAGGCCACCGGTGGCTGACGGGCTAAATGGGAATTTTTGAAAACAAAAGGAGGTCTTTAAATTTTCTTCGCTGTGAAGAATCTTCATACCTCATCTATCTAGGCCACCCCTGGGCAGAGGAAATCTCTATCCACTAGAATTTTATTGAAGAAAAAATATCCTGACTTCAAAAATTTCACCGAAAAAGTTGAAATTTTTTTCCGCTGAAACTTTTCCCATGGGGGTTTTCGAGGGTCCTGATCTCGAAATATGATATCCATTTTTGGCGCTGGCGCCAAATTGGCGCCATTTGGCGCCAGCGGCGCCAATGGGTTAAGCTTTTGTTTATACCGATGCCTTTTGGTAACCTGCGCTGGTGCTACAGTTCTATAGAAATCGAGTCTTTACCCACCGAATCGGTAACTTGTGGGTCTGCTCCGAAATCGATCAAAGTGTCGTAAATGGCGTTGGACTGTGTGGCTGCGTAATGAATAGCGCTTCGTCCAACCTGAACACACAGTGAATCCCATTTTTGAATTTTTCTTAGTCCATATTTTTGAAAGCATAATTCCACTATTCATTAGATGTGATTAAGTCACTCAATGAGGGTGAAGTTGTGAAGCGAACCGCTGGTGATGGAGAATTGTGAAAACGGAAAGAAGGCTGAAATTGTGCGTGACGTTGGTGGTACTATAGCAAAGACTGGTGTCGAGGAGAGGCAATAGACGAGATAGCATGGGAGCTAGCGAGACGCAGACAACTCGCCGCGTGGACGGCTACATTGCAAGCAGCAAGAGCAGCAGAATGGCAAGGTCTTAACGCCCTTCTGAGACACATTCAAGTCCTTGACTGCGAATGTTCTTTCTTTGAACAGGGCTCAATTCTGCACATAAAAAGGATTGACCGAAGAACTAGGTTAAGCGTTGAATGCGCCTTCGAGAGGGCTACATACACGATTAGGAACAAGAACTGATACAATACTCAGACAGTTTCGCACTCACATTCCAATGCCAAGTAAAGGAATACGTAGCGCGTACCAAAAATGGGAGAGATCAGCGCCAATGCTACATATTTCTATCCTTTCCCATGTATGTATTCATGCACTTTCAAGCTCCATACATCGCGCCAAGGTAGGGAAGCATAGATACCAGCACTTCCTGGAGCTCCTTGTTCTTTTCATAGGAATTCGATGCTCTCGACAAGACAACATGCTCAACGGGAGTATGTACTTTCTGCTTCCGAAACACCAGATGCTCTCGGGAGCTGCGGACCACCTCACAAGTGACGACGGCTGTCCAAGTAAAAGCTGTTAACTAGGTTCATAGTGATAGCTGATAGTTTGTCAACGATAGTAGGGCTTATCGTTAGTAATAACTGACACAATACACTGCAACCGGCTAATCATTCCATTGGCAGAAGGCATTTGCATTTTGTCGAAATCGTCGTCACTTGTGTTGTGTGGTCTACACTCGAGGAGCATCTAGTTTTTGGAAACAGGGTCTAGTGTCCCCAAAGGTAAACTACTCGTGTAATAAAAAAATAATTCATAGCTTCACAGAGAAATGAAAATGCTCGCGGTCAAGGCTAATCTCAAGCAAGAAAGCGAAAAAAGTAGTGTAATGAACAAGATTTCGATAGGGATAAGTGGAAAGTGGGTAAGAGGTTATGGAAATATCGAACGGAGCAGAGCTGAGCATATTTCCCAAACGATATCCAATCACAGGAAGTAGTTACGATAAAAATAAACGGATTCACTGGGGATTATGAAGAAGACTGAGTGACGGAGGCGATAACAAGTATGGTGCACTAATCGTTATTTCTAAATACTCCTCACGAGGCCTCTCCCATGGGTAGGGTTTCCAAAGCCGCTTTTAAATCTTTTACAAGCACCGAATTAAGTTGTAGATGAGTTAGAAAAAATCAATGCTTGCGAAGGCCTCACTATGAGACGATAGGTATGCTCAAAGGGCTCGTTCTTAGACCCGTAACGGGACACTCACCCTTTACACACCTTTTGTTCACCGCAGATTCCTGTCATCACAATTCTGCAGCTATAATCCATCTAGAGCACACCGTCGGTCCAGAACTGGCCACAGTTGGTGTATGGAGTTTTAAGCAGGCTTATCCTCGGGATTTCACATGTACAACCCTTAGTCCACTGCAGTGGAAGCAATTCTCCTGGAATCCCAATAGTGCGTCAGCTTCGCCTCTGAAATCACGTCGAGCAAGCAAAGGCGGAGGAGGACATACTCCGACCGGAATAATCCAAATTTCTACGAAATTGTCGGAAAGTAGCGCAAAAGATTTCCAATCCTTAGGAAAACTTCCTTCATCCATGTCTTATGGAAACAGGGTCATCAAGCCTTGATGGGTCACTTCAGAGGCTTTACTGTTCGAGAAAGGACCAGACCAGCTAAACCTTCTAACCACAAATCGTCGTTTATACTTACCGTTGTCTGGGGGGAATAAAGGACTGATTTCTAATCAGCTGCTGCCTGCAAGTGGTGGTGAAGGCCGTATTGTGCTCAAAATGCACTGTGATTCTGAGTGGAAGTAGGAACACATGGCGTATTCCAGACAGGGATTGACTAAGTTCAAAGGCTTCGCAGCTCAGACATACGCCGAATGTCCCTTCTCCGCGATCCTGTGGAGTATGAACAAAGCTAAGCTACGGGAAACTTGGGGGCCGGACATCATGAGGAGAGCAGATGACAGGTGGACAAGAAGAACGGTAGAGTGGGCTGCTGTAGGATTTTCGCGGTCCAAAGGTAGACCTGCTGCAAGACTAGGGAGCTGCGCTGCTCAACCACGTAAAGCAGCTGCGAATGCAGCTAAACGATTCCTTCAGATCGCCGTCTCCGCCGAATTTTAAAGGCAAATCCCGGGATTAGCTCGACTTGTGGGAAGGATTTTTACGAAATCGTAAAGAGCGTACCTACCTAGATCACTCCATCAGATCATCGCGAAAATTGCGCAGTTAGGACGCTAACCCTTACGGGCCTGCAACAACCAACTCCTAAAAAACCCCCGGCCTCGCCTCCCCACCCACCACGATTGACGTAGAGATCAGCTAATGACGTGCTTTCTCGAACGGCGTAATCTGTTTTGTCTACTTTGACCGCCCTGTCTCGCTATCGTACCACATCCGACCTTATTGAAGGTTAAGGCCTTAATTTCAGCGTTCCAAATGATTTCCCTTGCTTTCCTTTCCACTTTCAGGTTGTTCCCAGCTCATTAATCACCACGAAGCGCTATTATCATCAGTTCTATCCCGACATTGCCTTAAAGGACGAATTCACGCTGGAAAGGCAACCCATTTCAAATTAACTTAGCGATGGTGAGTGGTACACGAAAGAAGGAAAAACCATGAGAAACGGCCCAGAACCCGAGAAATGGGACCCCTTCCTTGCCCGTTGATTTGCATTGATGCGACTCATCATCTGTGCCCCTCTTCAACACTACGCTCTCTCACCTATCTAATCACTCGCCACGTATAGACCTGCGGCGAGTGATCAGATGATCGGTGGGCGTGCACTGACCAGCGGGATTAAACCTTAATAGGTCAACGAGGTCAACTCCTCCTGTGCAAATTGTGCTTCAGTTCGCACACTTAGGAGCTCCGCGGGTCCCTCAACCAGTAATTCTTTCCCGATTCGATTTCCCCTCTGATCGCGAATTCGTCCTTTAAACCAGCCACAGGTAGCGATCGCGAAAGAAAGAAACGAACGGTTGGATTACTTCCGGTGC